AATACAAATGACAGGAACATTGCAATACAATGACAACAAAAATTTGTCCCCATCAATCTAGATAGCCAGCATGTCCTCTTTTTATTCAAAATATTGTCTCATAAGAAAATTTCAGTAGTTTTGATACCTCAGGCTGACTTGTATAACAAAATTATTTTACAGCATCAACCAAAACTGACCATATTTGCACTTTTAATATTATGTATATCTATATAGCCACATAGTAAAGCAGCTATATTTTATTGTCAGAATGGATTGTATAATACAAATGTTAGAAACATTGCAACACAATGACATCAAAAATTATCCCCATCAATTTAGATTGCCAGCATGTCCTCTTTTTATTCAAAATATTGTCTCGCAACAAAATTTCAGTAATTTTGATACCTAAGGCTGACTAGTATAACAAAATTATTGAAACGCATCAACAAAAACTGACCATATTTGCACATTATTATGTATATCTATATAGCCACATAGTAAATCAGCAATATTTTGATGTCAGGATGGATTGTATAATACAAATGACAGCAACATTGCAATACAATGACAACAAAAATTTATTCCCATCAATCTAGATAGCCAGCATGTCCTCTTTTTATTCAAAATATTGTCACGCAACAAAATTTCAGTAGTTTTGATACCTCAGGCTGACTCGTATAACAGAATTATTTAAACAAATCAACCAAAACTGACCATATTTGCATTTTATTATGTAAATCTATATAGCCGCATAGTAAATCAGCAATATTTTGTTGTCAGAATGGATTGCATAATACAAATGGCAGCAACATTGCAACACAATGACATCAAAAATTTGTCCCCATCAATCTAGATTGCCAGCATGTCCTCTCTTTATTCAAAATATTGTGTCGCAAGAAAATTTCAGTAGTTTTGATACCTCAGGCTGACTTGTATAACAAAACTATTTTAAAGTATCAACCAAAACTGACCATATTTGCACTTTATTATGTAAATCTATATAGCCGCATAGTAAATCAGCAATATTTTGATGTCAGGATGGATTGTATAATACAAATGACAGCAACATTGCAATACAATGACAACAAAAATTTGTCCCCATCAATCTAGATAGCCAGCATGTCCTCTTTTTATTCAAAATATTGTCTCTTAAGAAAATTTCAGTAGTTTTGATACCTCAGGCTGACTTGTATAACAAAATTATTTTACAGCATCAACCAAAACTGACCATATTTGCACTTTTAATATTATGTATATCTATATAGCCACATAGTAAAGCAGCTATATTTTATTGTCAGAATGGATTGTATAATACAAATGACAGCAACATTGCAACACAATGACAACAAAAATTATCCCCATCAATTTAGATTGCCAGCATGTCCTCTTTTTATTCAAAATATTGTCTCGCAACAAAATTTCAGTATTTTTATACCTAAGGCTGACTAGAATAACAAAATTATTTAAACGCATCAACAAAAACTGACCATATTTGCACATTATTATGTATATCTATATAGCCACATAGTAAATCAGCAATATTTTGATGTCAGGATGGATTGTATAATACAAATGACAGCAACATTGCAATACAATGACAACAACAATTTGTTCCCATCAATCTAGATAGCCAGCATGTCCTCTTTTTATTCAAAATATTGTCTCGCAACAAAATTTCAGTAGTTTTGATACCTCAGGCTGACTCGTATAACAAAATTATTTAAACAAATCAACCAAAACTGACCATATTTGCACTTTATCATGTAAATCTATATAGCTGCATAGTAAAGAACAATATTTTGATGTCAGAATGGATTGCATTATACAAATTAAATGACAGCAACATTGCAACACAATGACAACAAAAATTTGTCCCCATCAATCTTCATGTAGATAGCCAGCATGTCCTCTTTTTATTCAAAATATTGTCTCGCATGAAAATTTTAGTAGTTTTGATACCTCAGGCTGACTTGTATAACAAAATTATTTTAAAGCATCAGCCAAAACTGATCATATTAGCACTTTATTATGTCATGTATGTAAATCTATATAGCCGCATAGTAAATCAGCATATAGCCGCAAAGTAAATCAGCAATATTTTGATGTGAGGATGGATTGTATAATACAAATGACAGCAACATTGCAACACAATGACAACAAAAATTTGTCCCCATCAATCTAGATAGCCAGCATGTCCTCTTTTTATTAAAAATATTGTCTCGCAAGAAAATTTCAGTAGTTTTGATACCTCAGGCTGACTCGTATAACAAAACTATTTTAAAGTATCAAACAAAACTGACCATATTTCCACTTTATTATGTAAATCTATATAGTGGCAGCCGCATAGTAAATCAGCAATATTTTGATGTCAGGATGGATTGTATAATACAAATGACAGCAACATTGCAATACAATGATAACAAAATCTTGTCCGCTTTAATTTAGAGTGCCAGCATTTCATCTCTGTATTCGTTATATAAAACTGTCACTAAAGTCAGTATCAGTATCTGTATTTCCCACTTCCATGACTTCTGAATATGGACGGGTACATCACAGATTCCTTTTGGGCTATTGTGTGATGGGTTGGTCTGCGCATAAATTAGTCGTGCTTGCTGAGGTGTGATGATTTGAACTCAGTAGTTCAGGATGGTTTGTATAATAAAACTATTCCACCTCATCATCCAACAGTGTGACTGACATGACAGATTTCATTTGTACTTTATAATGAAAAGTATGAGAAGTTCTCTTCTAGGAAAAGTATACTGTTAGTATATTATGTCGGTTGGTTGATTTTGTTGGTGGCTAAATATCAAGTGGCAAATATTTCATCCCGTTTCACATAAGTATATTTTTTCGGACGTTCAAGATATCATTTATAATCCGTAAAGACAAATCTAACGAAATTGACGAGATTGTTCATAATTATACAACACCTTATGTGCAATAACACTGTACAATTTTCCTTTGAACATTTTTTGGAAAACAGAATCGTAAATCCAAGGCAAACATAGGTGAATGACGATAAGATATTTATAAAGAGACTGTCAAAAGTGGGGAACGAAGCAACTTTAAAAATGATGTTGATAACCCGTGATATAAAAATACTGTTCCGATGCGTGGATAACCTTTCTATCCGCCTTCTAGTTTAAATAAAATCCTTTCTTTTATGATAACTGCATGTGATCACAAGTCTGTAATTTTAAAGCCATTGTTTAATCAAAATCAAATATTTTATTGTCTTATAAACTTTACAATTTGTGACCAACATGTATTAACACAATAAACATATATACATACATATCAAACAAACACAATAAAAACAGCATAAAAATTTATAAAAACAAACAAGTTGTTAAGAGTCCCCTGCCCTCAGTTCTAATGACTTTTTCAAGAAGGATCCTAACTTATTTGTTTGTAAAGGCGTTGATGGATTTAGTAAATAATGAATTTTTTCTTCTTCATTTAAATTATTAAAGTTATTATTTTCAGTACATATGTGTTCAAAAAAGGCATTTCTTAGTGTTTTATTATAATCACAATAGAGTAAAAAATGTTTCTCATCCTCTAGTATTTTACATTTATGACAAAGTCGTTCCTCTCTTGGGATTTTAAAATATCTCCCCTTTTCAATTAAGAGGGAGTGATCACTTAGTCTAAATTTAGTGATCAATCTCCTTATCTGAAAATTAGATATATTTAGATAAGATTCTAGTTTGCAATCCTTTTTAAGTTTTTTATATAGATAAAATTTACTTTTATCATCAATGTTTTCAAATTTAGTTTCAATTAAATCTTCATATCTATTTTTCATTTTTAACTTTATATCGTTTTTTATTTTATTTACATCTTTTATGTCCTTACAATTAGAAAAAATATTAAGGTCAATATTAGTCTCTTCAACAATATTCTTTGCATATGTATACCATGAATAAGTTCCAGTCAAATCTAGAGACTGTGCTAGAGAAAAAGCTTCCTTTATCAATGGATTAATATTATTATTATATAGTCTAGCTAAATATAAAAGGGTTTGTGTTTTAATAAAACATTCTATAGGCAATCTTCCTAATTCAACTCTTGCCCCTAAATTGGATGCATTTTTTTCTTATTACTAGAGTAGATTTACAAAATTTAAGATGCATATTTTCAATAGGGGTTTTGTCTGTAAAATCAAGGTGATTTAATGTAAATAAGAATAAGAAAAAAAAAGATTTTTTAATATGTGTATATTAAATATATATGACATAGAGTCTAACGAGTAAAGTAATTTGCTTTACTGGGAAAAAAGAACAATAGGATTATTATTATTGTTTATGTTTACAATCCGAAAAATTAAAATAAAATGAACTTCGGTTTCAACCAATGAAATGTCGTACACCATTCATTCACACCATTCCCGATCGCACGTTACACAATCACACCATTCCTCATACACCATTACACCATTCCCCTTACACCATACACCATAGCACCATACACCTTCTACCATTGCACCATATGCCATACACCATTACACCATACACGTTATTTTGGGAAGTTTACACCATCCAAGGGCTGTAACACAATGTTGACTGCTGTACCCCAATTTTTGACATTTTTATGTCTGTTTGTTTTGTTCACACATTGTTGTTAATTTAATGGAATTTTATGCGACTGTCATACAAGTGAGAAGTTTAGCTAGCTATAAAACCAGGTTTAATCCACCATTTCTACATTAGGAAATGTCTGTTCAAGGTTAGGAATATGTCAGTTGTTTACCATTCGTTTGATGTGTTTGAGCTTTTGATTTTGCTATTTGTTAAGGCACTCTCCGTTCTGAATTTTCCTTGGAATTCGGTATTTTTGTCATTCTACTTTTTTACTATGACAACCTGTTTACTTGTCCTTAAATATTGCGAAGGATAACATAGAAGGAAGTTTAGAACCAACAACCGTCTGAATATCAGAGCAATGGCAATATTTCCTATGAACTTTCAAATAAATAATTTCTTTTTGGAGTCAAAAAGGAAAGGAGGACAATGGTTCGTTCGTCAATTCATAAAACTAATACAAATATTACATGGTAGTTAAAAAAGTATATAAAAAAATATTTTGTCATAAAATTTTTTTATTGAAAATTTTAATATAACATGGAAGATAACTCTAACTGCTTATAGATAATCTTTAATATGCCTTCAATCATTTATTCTGTCTTATTTTCAATGCACAGCATGTTTTTGTACAAAAAATAGACAAAAACAAAAACCCTCATTTTATATCTACTTACAAAGTATAGATACTGACGACATTGAAAATTGAAATACACAGTTATAATTATAATATACAATGTATTTTTTTTCCTTTTCTAGTTTGTGTAGACACATTAAATAGCTGTATTTTTGGTAATACCGGTATGTGTCGATGGGTTTTCTTTCTCACTAATGTGTATCTACTTTAATCAATATGATAATGTTAATGTATAATTGCTTTGTTAAGTAAGCGGGTAAGTTAGTAAGGCAATATAACATTTTCTCACGATGCACAAAATTATTTGTGAAAATAATAGCAGACGTAATATAATCTTGTTCAAAAATGTAAAGGACTATACAATTAAGCAATATATATCTTAAGTTGTAAACTAGACAATTTTATTTGTTAAATATATCAGCTTATATATTAAATAGGTTAACAAGAAAACACAATGCATAAGAGGTGGGGGTATTCTATTGTGTTGATAAGATGATATGTTATAAACGGATTAAATGTAGAAAAACTTCTCTTTGCATATCAATTTTAGACTGATGTTTCTAATATCGTTCTAAAACGTGACTAACTAAATGACAAAAAAAAAGAAACAGAAGGGGACATCCAAAAACTTACAAGTCAAAGAGAAACTGACGACGCCGTGCCAAATGAAAAATGCAATAGACGACGAAACGACAAAAAAAAATCACTAAATAAAACCTATAAGACTAAGCCACACGATCCCCACCAAAACTGGTGGTGATCTCAGATGCTCAGGAAGGTTAAGCAGATCTAACTATTGTAGTACATCTTATGTACACTTATCGTGTTGATCTGAATATCAAATGACATTTTTATGCACCACCTAGGGGCATTATGTTTTTCGGTCTGTGCGTCCGTTCGTCCGTCCGTCCGTCTGTCCCGCTTCAGGTTAAAGTTTTTGGTTAAGGTACTGTTTGATGAAGTTGAAGTTGAAGTCCAATCAACTTGAAACTTTAATTAGTACACATGTTCCCTATGATATGATCTTTCCAATTTCAATGCCAAATTAGAGTTTTGACCCCAATGGCACGGTCCACTGAACATAGAAAATGATAGTGCGAGTGGGGCATCCGTGTACTATGGACACATTCTTGTTTTATTTATTTAAACACGTCACGAAGATGTTTTTTCTCCAGTATTTTTCAAAAAAAGGCCAATGATGTAACATTTAAAGATGCCAGGATTATAATTTTGTACGTCAGACGCACTTACAAAAGACTCATTGGTGACTTTCGAATTAAAAAAATATATGGCTGAATACAGTCCGAAGCTGAAGAGTATTGAGGACCAAGTTACGGTAATCTTTTCCTGGGGTAGAAACAATAAATCAAAATACATCTGTGAATAATTTAATTTTGGATGTAACACGTCTTCTGATTGGCTGAAAGTGTTTTGTCTATCAGCTCATATACGTAATTTTGTCATTTGACCGTGACTTCATCAACGTTTTTTCATAATTTAGTCCGGCATAAAATGGAATTAAGAATTAAATTTTAAGGAATGACTGTAATATTTTTTCTGTCTATTCGAAATAACATAAAAAATGTGGTGCACACTTTAAAATTTAAAAAAAAGCCTGATTTATCAAGTTACAGATTTATCCCAAAAAATCAGTTTTCTATTCCAATTCTTTAATCAGCGAAGAGTGAAGTTTAAATTACATCCATGATAAAGATTACAACAAAATCTTCAAAATCACATATCACAAAATAACAAAACTTTAAATATAGGTGTAATTAATACAAATTTAAAAAAAAAGTTTATTAAATCAATATGTAATGAATATTTAAAAATATCAATAGGGCAATGAACAAATAACTTTTGATCCGAATCACTACAGTTACTAATACATTAATTACCATTTTGTTCAGTCTTCTCAACCTTCCAAGACATAAGATCACTTGTTCATGTGTATTTGTAATATATATATATTTATTAAGAAACTACCCCTTTACAACGGGGGGCACTTGCAGGCAGGGTACCTACAAATGCGTCTAAGAGCATATACAATGAATAATGTACAATGAAATAAAATACACATAGGACAATGTCATAGTTAAAAATTGATTCTCTTTAAAACAAGTAAACTTTCATTGTAATAATCTAGACATTATAAAAGGGTGATGAGTGGTGGTATAAGCTATCTGAAAGCAGCTATCCTTCTGTTGTGTCAAGTTTTCGTTCATATGATTATAAACGCGGACAATGTCGGCACAACATGCGTATAAGTCGAACAAAAAAGATCCATAGAGATTTCAGTAATTATAGTAAATAAAGGCAACAGTAGTATACCGCTGTTCAAAAGTCATAAATCGATTGAGAGAAAACAAATCTGGGTTACAAACTAAAGCAAACCGAGGGAAACACATCAACTATAAGAGGAAAACAACGAAATAACAGACCACAGAAGTGCAACAAAAAACAAACAACAATGCAACATTCATAGAAACGAACTATTAGATAACTACCATATTCCTGACTTGGTACATGACATTTTAATAAAAAAATGGTTGGTTGAACCTGCTTTTGTGGCTAGCAAAACCTCCGCGCTTAATGGTAATGTTAAATATGCCGTTAAAATGACAACATTACATGACGGGACACAGTACAAATAAATGCAAAAACACCAAAGACAGAGAAATACATAAATAAATAATGTAATAGTACATTTTGACATGTTAACCACAGAATAATAACGAATAGCTAAAATAGTTTAGGACAGTACGCAAAAACAGCTTAATAGAATTAAGAAGTGTGTGTCTGTAACACGAATGGAAAATTCTGAAGCCTTTTAAAATAATGTTAATGTAATTGATAAATGGACAGATTAATACTATCTGGACACTTAAGTGCAGAAAGGTCACAGACACTAATGATGTCGCTGTGATATCATAAACATGTTGAAATTGACATATTTGACCTGAAATTACCGTTTTACACATTGTTTTGGGAAAAATAGACATAAGCAACAGCTTTACTCAAAGATATTTTACGCAAATAAATGTAACATGTAACAATATATCTTTGTTGGTACAGCTGCTGCTCATATCTAAATGTAAACGACACGATTTCAAAATGAGGCTTTTTTGGCAGTTTATGCAGTTTTGCACTAAATTCAAGAAGTTTTAAGCCCTAAAGCAAATATGCAACACCAAATTAAAAAATATTAACACTGATGTCTACCAGAACTAGGTCTTATGAACAACTGAAGGATGTCAACTACATAACAAAATTAGGTCAATTGTTATGTAGTTGACCGTGAGGTAGTAGGCGTATTCACTCTATGGGGCATTTTTTAATACCACTGATACTTTGACATCATATTACACTGTGCTTTTCTATAAAACACAGACAATTTATTAATATAATGATATAGATGTGGACGTGATATTGCATTGTTATCTTGAAAAAAAAAATCCCGTTGCCAAGCTAAGTGGACAAGTTAAAAAATACGGGGCTACCGCTACCAACGTAAATGCCAATAATTGTTGATACCATTTACAGAGTTATCTTTTTATGCTTCCATTATTATAATGATATGTGGAGTTAGTGCTGAGGCACTTTCTAGTTCAAAAGGGGTGTCAGAAGTTATATTATAGCAAGCAAACACGTTTTCGTTATGTAGTTGACAAAATATCAAGGACACTATAAAAAATTAAAATAAATCTGAAATCATAGCAAGCTACTATCTAAAGCCTTTATAATATCATTCTACATTTTATTTTCTATCTTAAAACAGAAAATTGTAAGATTTGTGTAATTACAAAAATGTCTATTTTGATATTTGGTATTTTTGGAGTGGGGACATGTAGTTTGGGGTAATTTTAGAGCTTTGAGCACGATTTCAAAGAAAACCCATGTACCTTTTCCTTATTTTTCTTCTGCAAGTAGTATAACTTACGGTGCACTATGCAAGACACCAACATTCAAATAATGACAAAGCCTACATTTCCTCACAGGTCAGCCGTAAAAGAATATTGACTGATTTTGGAAATGACCCATATGTGAATGTGCGTGGTATCTTATTTTATCTTAATATTATCTTTATTTGATTGTTTGTCACAAAGATTATCATAGTCATTGTGTTTAATAAAAACAATTATTAAATGATATGAGCAAATAAGCCCTAATACGGATAAGTCAGCATGTGCAATACTGAAAACATTCCATTGTAGATATAAATCAAGAGTTTATATTGCTTTTCGAACAGGGCCAATACGGAAAAAACAAGGCCAATACGGAAAAAACAGGGCCAATACGGAAAAAAGCCGTATTGGCCAATGGCCTAATACTGGACGTTCACTTCCGGTTTCAATTTTCTTACGCCATTACTTAACTTTGGTGGTATCGTTATGCATAAAAACATGTGTATTATATTTTTTGAATTAAAATCATAAAATAAACAGGTTAAATGATGTGCAATGTTTTGTAACGTCTTAAAGTCTTGAAACGGAAAAACAGGGCCAATATGGAAAAAAAGCCGTATTGGCCCATGGGCTAATACGGAACGTTCACTTCCGGTTTTTAATTTTCTTAAAATCATTTAATAAAAGTGTTATGAACTGAACTCTTCGAGTCTCGGGTCCAATACAGCTAACCTTGAATCTATAACAGGGCCAATACAGAAACAGGCAGTTAATAACACTATAATACTAACTCGAATATGTAATTATTATATAGGATTTTATACCTAGTCTTCTTTAAATATTCCATTTAATTCAACTTGTTTGGATTCCTATGAGTTAATGTTGTAATATGTATTAGTGTTGAGCGTGACAGCATATGATTGATCATCAGCGTCCCTGGCCGGAGTCAGATCCTGGTAGTTAGATTGGTCCAATTCGATTCTATTTTCGTACAGGGTCGAACCACTATGCTTGGAATTGTCTCGAAAATTCTTTAAAATTGTCTTTCGTCTGTCAAAAATAAAAAAAAAAGATATTTGAGTTAAGTTAAGGCAACAGTAGATCACCCAATTTCAAGCCTCATATATTGATTAAGGAGATAGTAGAGCGGCGAATGTTGAAAAAGACGCTTAGTTTACGAGTTTAAATTACCTAAATACCTCATACTAGAATATTAATGTCGTAAAATGTCTATCGATTATTCAACTTCAAAAAAATATTTATCGTAAATGTCAAATGTGATGCCAATGACGTTAAAACTACCTTAAGGATGTATTCTTCTGACGTTTCAGTCTCGTTGAAATCTCGTTAAGGAATTACTTCCAAAACATGTGATACAAGTGGAAAATATCAATGAATTAAAAAAATATCATAATCAAACTTAACTCTGTGAAAAAATTGTGTATTTACAATAAGTAGTTTTTAAATAATAAAATTTTCAAATTTTATAACCAATCAAGTCGGTCTCATTAGCCAAAATGTTGAGAAAATGGGTGAGGGGTACAATAAATGATTTTACCAGATACATGTACATACCATATCAATGTTTACTTTAAGTTTCAAATTTCTTAGATATATATTTTTTCAATCATTTATAACAAAGAAGTTAAAATAATAAGCTTTTTGTTCTAAAAAAGAGAAAAATCCCCAATTTACAAAATTGAAAACATGGTAAATATGACACAAAAAAGCAATACAATTTTATAAAACTTTCTTATATTTACACCTACCTATAGTTTTTTTAGTTAAATTTATTCAGATTGGTCCACTTCATCTTATGTGAAAGTATGAAAAAAAAATTAATTGTGAAACTGTGATTTTTTTCATGATAATAGCCCAAAAATGGGTAAAAATTGACGAAAAATGGGAAAATCATCAAAATTGGGTACTTTCAAATGGCTGTAGCAAAAAAAGAACTGCACCACCATATGATTTTTTCTCACCAATTATTTGTTTACAGTCATATAACCCAAAAAATCAGGATAAGAAAGAAAGTTTAATTGTAGAAATTTTTGGCTCCTCAGAGGTGTATTTCCTTAACTGACGTTACCAAACTGTCATCAGAGACCCCACTACTGTTTCGATAGAGTAATCTCATAATGAACTCTTTTCTAAACATGATTTGTGAACTAAATTTGTTAATATGGTTACTCTTGAACTTCATACATTATGAGGGTATTTTTAGTAAGTGCTATATTTAAAGCACAGAGCATCTAAAATTTTTTGGAAAAAAAAACCACGTCTTTTCACCAAGCATTATTTACACGTGCAATAACTGTGTATTTTAATGGTACAACCGTAAAGCCGTCGTAAATTACTTCAATCGACTCGATTTACTTTTTGAAAAAAATTAGTAATAAGCAATATAATTGGTTAAACATCTGCATTTTATCAGAATTTCGATTCCGGATATTTGTCACACATGAACCGACACTGTTATTGTTTCTAGTTATACGCCCACATTAGACAATTTTGCGATTGTTATTATAACGCGTTATTCTTGTTTGCTTTAGAATTTCTGAAACTGCGATTTATTTATGTTGTTAGGTATTGTTGTTTAGTGACAATTTGTTGAATTTAACCGTGAAAGTGACAATCATTGTAGGGTGCGTTTGGTTTTCAGGAGTGTTTTAGATCTGTTGGATATTCAAGTATAAAAGGACAATTACACTAGTTCTTTAAAACTGGCTCCGTCCAATGCCAAGAAAAGGTGGTCTGAAATTGGAGTTGACAAATACATTAACTGAAACTTTGTATTTGCTAAAATTTTAAGAATAGCAACAGAATCTAGAAAAAAAAGTCCGCTAAATGCTGCAGTAGTGAGACGTGACGTTTTATTTATTTATTTCAATGAACAATGTAATGATAAGTAAACTGATTCAACCATAGTTAGGTATCACAGTTCTTGTTTTAAAAGCTACACAATTAAACATAATTTGAAATCAGTAGCACGACTGAAAGGGAAGCACCAGATATGAAGCCAGATTTATCCAATTCTTTGTTGAAAGTAATGTTGACCCGGCCTATCCATTCATAAAAGTGTATAATTTGCAAGAAAATGTCTCATAGAAAGTGAAAACATAACATACCATGCTGGAAGATAAGCAAATCTAAATGATGGTGCTGTTAGAGCAGGCGACGCTGATATGATATACCAAATATAAAGCATGAACATTTGCTCAATAACGCGGTTTGACCACATGCTAGCCATAAAGACCAAATTACTCAAAGAGTAGTTAAAATAATAGACAAAGACCTTATTCGTGAATAAAAGACTCTTGTTATTTTATCAATGTTGATAATGTACCAGTCTTTCTTATCAAGTAACATTAGTAAGATCTACTGCAATTACTGCGAACTCAGTGCTAAATTTGAGAATAATACATGGATGCCATAGTATTCTTTTCTAGTGAAGGACATGGTAAATCGAACAGTTACTTTGCAAGCGTCATTTCTATTAGCGACGCCTTTAAAGCCGCGAATAACTTTAAAGCAAAATTGAAATTCAAATTTCTAAAATTGTCCTCTCCGCCACTCCACTAAGATAAAATCAAAGTAACACACAAAAATATTGAAGGGAATCGCATAAACTCTTTAAGGAGCGAGACGGGATTTGTCTACTTGGTAAGCGTTTCTTGCAATGCATGTATCACCCGCCTTTAGAATCCACACTCGGTAACAGACGACCATTCAAAGTCCGCAAAAACATGTCACTAGTGAGTTGATACACAGACACATCGTATCGGTACCCGATTTGTGATGGTTGTCGTAAAACTTCTGTTGTGTCGGTTTCAGTCGTTCTCCTTCAATTAAACATAAATAGCTTTTTAAATCGACTACTGTATGCACGATTATATTAATCAATACTTCTTTACCAATGCTGCACTTGAGCGAAAATTTTGCTATTGAGATCACTGCAACATAAAACCGGGTCGGACGATACAGAGTGGAGAACAACAAAATATGTCATAGAAACACAGAAAACAACATTTACAAAGATAAAAGGACAAACAGACGAACAACAGCAAGCAAACTAAACTACAGCAAAGTAAAGATTGAGGAACGGTTGCCCTCTTTTGGAAGGGTAGGAAATTCTTGCTCCGGCTGTGGGAACCGTCGTCTTGCATATTTCAAGTATAAATCCGGTAACATGTTGCGTTTTTAAATGAGGAAAAGATGTTGAAATGTGTACAGGATTATAACCTGTATTGTAGTCATCGTTTTGTGTGCACATTGAATGATTGCTTGATAGATTTATTTGTAAACGTAGATAATATAATTCCCTCTGTTTCTAATATGGAAATCAACTTTAACAATGTTAATACTGGTTTAACAATACTTTGGTATAGACGAAAAATTTTGGAATTATGATAACAAACTAATAAAATATGACATGATAATGTATGCCCCTTAAATGAGAAGGGCTTACAGGATATAACTACAACTATGTCCGTTTTTCTGATGGTGACTGTTGGTCCTCGAGGGTATAACTAGTCTATTAGCTCAATACATCTGTATTAGTATGACAATACGGATTTCATTTTAGTGAAATATTTTGTTATAAGTCTAAGAAAATATTTTTAAGGATGTACTTAGGTCAGGTTTAAGGATTTTTTATTAGATTTCGGACTCCTTGGTTTTTTTCCTACGATACAGGGTAAAATATGTTGTCCCATAACACCCATTTTTCTTTTCATATAAGACTTAAATAGCTCATAAAAGGTCATTTACCAAAATTTAAGCAGATTCTAGATTTCTTTTTTTCCAATTTGACACCCAAATAATATAAATGCAAATATAAAGTAAAACTCCGAGTCAGCCTTTTCCCGCCATTTTTTAGAAATGAAATATCTCGAAAAGGAGATCCACAACCTTTCAATATTTTTAGCTTATTTTGTTCCTTAACTAATGCTCTTCTGACTTATAGTATCAATTTTAAATTCTAGATTTTTTTAATTTCACCTAAGTACATCCTTAAGTTAAGAAATATATCTCTCTCATTCATAGATCTGATTCCTTGTCGGGGTTTTGATTTACTTTTTTGCTCTTTTTCGGTTTATCAGCTCTTCAAAGCATGTATTTGTTTTTATAAATATTTTGGCATAGAACATCGCTCAAGTGATAACAATTCTCAAAATGCTCATATAGTGCAGTACAATTACATAAATTTGCGCAATTCTGATGCAATACAATTGATACTGTTACACCAATCTTATGTTAACGTCAGAAAGTTGGGTAATGTAAAGTCTTGACAACTTCCATACCGTCTTCAGGTTTTGAGATAATTTTAGAGAGAAGAAATGTTAGTTTATGTGTAAGTTTTGATGGGTACAAAACATTTAATATACTAATATTTTGGGCGTTTATTTTTTTCATCATTTATGAGAAAACCCGATGTTTATATCTCTACCATAGTTTTACTGAATTTTCGCAATCTATTGTGGCTGATAGGTTAGTGGTTATACCTTGGTCTGCTTTCCATCTCTAACACATCGTCTGCCGCGATGTCAACTGACCATATAATGTGGTAGAAATGGTTCAGCGTTGTCGGGTTCTATAAATGGATGTCTGTTAAAAATCAATCCTCTTACTATGCCTGTGAGACAGACTAGACAGATGAATATAAAATTGTAACGTTACTTAATCAATCTCACTTTGACCAACCACTATCACAGAATCCCCGTATTGATTAATTCTTTTGAAACGAAATAACTTTGCTGAAGTCATTCGTCAATCTGACATGACTTATAGTACATTGTACACAAAACCTCCGTACCAATTATCCGTTAAAGTAGCGGAAATAATTACTACCACTGCTATCATTACAATAGCATCTACTAGTTGTAGTCATAAACATCATTATGATAATAAAAAAAGTAATAATAACAAAAAAGACTATCATTATTATGAAACATAATGAGATTCATAAAGTTAGTTATTAGCGAATCTTTTTATAACGACGATAATATTTTGCAGAGATATTTGGCCAGCAGTACTACCCAAATACTTTAAATGAAAAAAAATTAATAGTCATATAAAAAGTACTAGTATTATATTAAAAGTGCAATTAGTAAAAACTAAGGGAATCGCATGTACTCCAAAATGATACTAGATGTGTCGACAGGGTAAGCGTCTCCTGATGTGCATGCACCACAATGAGAATCAACACAACTATTAAGGTATATCAAGACCTAAGATCTTGAAACATGACTGTAGTAAATTTAGACACAGACATATCGTATCGGTCAACTAATTCCTGAGGTTAACCGTAATTCATGTGGAGTGTCAATTTCAGTTGTTTTTCCTTAACACTCTGTTGGATCAGTGTTTGTGTAAGGAGCACACCCATGCTTATAAAGTCCTATAGTGTGAACATTGATGAGCGTAAAGTATCAATTGGGATATGTAAACGTCATAAGATGGAGCGGAGTTGACAATTGAAAAGTTGAAATCATCACGTTTTTCATGGATTCTTGCAATTGTTTGAAGTCGTTCATCAGTGCCTATATCGAGGAAAAGATCAAGTTATGAAGCTGACATTCTAGTTTCCGTAGTGTCCTTTATTTGAAGTTTACTGTGAATATGAGATGCAAACATGCACTGGAATTTGGAAAGAAAGGTAAAGAAAAAAGGTGAAACGACAACGGTCAATAAATCTATAAAGATTGGGACCTGCAAGAATCACGGACTTACTTTAGTTATTAATCACTTTGAAAATAACGCAGTTATTCATTATTTATTGTTCTTCAACATCATCACTTTCGAATACCAGCGATAGTAAATATATTTCTATTTCCATATTTACATAACATACCTTGATTGATAAAATATTGTGAATGCTACAACCATAACAATCACAACAGCACATAATGAGCCAGCAAACACTTCAACTGAAAGAATATATACTATTTCAAGAATTGTGAAAGATATCAAAAGCACAAAAAACGTTACAAGCAATTCTTTTTGCTTCGCATCACGGTGCGGAGCTATTAGTTTCAGTCGATATACACGCCATCTTGAAATAATTACTTATCACATATAGATTCTGATTGGTTGCTTTATGATGCGGCTGAGATACAGCAACAGCTATTGGTTTAAATTAGATAAAGAATTACAGACTTTTCTCGTGTCATTAAAAGAGGGACGAAAGATACCAGAGGGACAGTCAAACTCATAGATCGAAAACAAACTGACAACGCCATGGCCAAAAATAAAAAGACAAACAGACAAATAATAGTACAGATGACACAACATAGAAAACTAAAGACTAAGCAACACGAACCCCACCAAAAACTGGGGGTGATCTCAGGTGCTCCGGAAGGGTAAGCAGATCCTGCTCCACATGTGGCACCCGTCGTGTTGCTTATGTTATTACAAATCCGGTAAATAGTCTAATTCGGTAAGTCACATTCGTGAAAAGAATTCATGTTCGTTTTTTTATGCATATATTGCACACTGAAATTCAATATTGAAATATCATTTATTAATACGTGTTTATTTGCTTTGTTAATCTGCAATATGCACGATTTGTTTTGCTAAACAATGTTCCTATACAATGTTTACAAAAATGTATTATCTGTATTTCATAACTTCGGCCAATCTAGGCACACCTCTGGAGTCGTGTCTATTTGTAAATTAGGATAGAGCGAAGCAGTCCACAGCTTTTAAGAAAGCTCAAACTTGTTTCTTTTACTTTTGTATTTTTAGCGATATTGAATTATCATGTAGATACGTTTTCTGATGTTATGATAAAATCGAAAAAACCGGAGAGGATCAGATGGCAGACACTATTATGTATGTCGATGTACTACTGGACGATATAGTAACTTCTGAAATAGCCAAAACAAAAAAGAAATATTACATTTTTAAATTGTAAGGGTAGGGTAGAACGCTTACCAACATTCTGTCCGAAGTCGGTGGGCTTTGATTCAATGGTTGCCATTAGTTGGTGTCTGTCATATCTATTTTCCGTTTATTGTTTTGTAATAAGTCAGGCCGCTGCATTTATCGTTTGAATTGTTTAATATTGTGTCATGTCAGATCATTGTATTGCCAACTATACGGTATGCATTTTGCTTATTGTGGTCTTATTTAAGCCTGTTGTTCAGTCATTGTCGTTGGTTCATGTCTGTCATATTTGTTTTTCTTAAATTGTTTTGTTATAAATTAGGCTGTTTGTTTTCTCAATTGAATTGGTTTATATGTTTCATGTCGGGGTATTTCATAGCTGACTATACGGTATGGTTTTTCTCAATGATGAAGTCCATACGTTTGCATATAATTGCTTACATTCACTTCATTTGAACCTTGGTGGATATTTGTCTCATTGCCAATCATACTACATCTCCTTATTTTTAAGTAGAATGTTCTAACCTGCAATCCTGTTTTGTTGCGTGTCTTCTGCAAATTGAAGAGTAAACATTTAATAAACAAAATTATACTAAAATTAATTAAAAGCACTTCAATCTTTAGACACAACTTTCGTTTATAAATCAAAGAAGTGATAATTTTAATCGAACTTCTTCATTCATTATGATAGCGAGTTTAACGAGTAAGGACTTTAATACACTCCTTCATAATACCTTCCATTATTATAAAGTACCTTATATACTTCAAGAAGATACAGACCAACAACATAACTTAAACACAAACTTTCCGGCAGCGCCTTCATAAAGAGAATATATATCCCAGTTGAATCGATATTTCAGAGCTTCTATTCCCTATCATGATTTCCTTGATAGAGAATTGGAGTTTAAAAGGAAGCTTTCACACCAAGAGTTTCAAGTGATGAAGTTTAAATCATCCCTACGAAAATGTTACGGACGTCATCATAGGTTGGTTGACCTTTATGGAATATCTTTGTCACAGATTTCGACAGATAAGTTCTTATTGTAGTAACCCCAATTATGTCCTCTTTTCCTTGAATATGACCTACCGAATAACACTTATCACTGGGTTTGTGAATACATTAGCAACATGACGGGTGCCACATGTGCACCTGATATCATTGCCGTTTGTTTTTTTTGGTGGGGTTCGTGTTGCTTTTGTTTTTTCTCTGTTGTGATTGTATGCTGTTGTATGTTTTTTTATATTGTTTTTGGTTTGTTGGCAGGGCATTGTCAGTTTGAATTTCCCTTTGGTATTTTTTGCCTCTTTTTTTCAAGGACGCATATGCTGATTAAAATCACAAGTTTTTTTTATGTTCGACTGCTTATCTATAACGTATTGTGAACATTTTTTTCAGTAGGCGTTGATTCTATTATTGGAACCTACTGGGCTTGATTCTTTATTCATATGAAGTATGCTTCATTCAGTGTAACAAGAGAACTGCTTATAATTTAGATGTACTCGAGTTCATTAAAAGTTTGTATTTTTTTAAGATTTCGGGTATTTTGCTTTACATAGACATAGTAGATCTTATTGTTTATGTGCTTTCTTTTTCTATTTCGGAGTTCTTTCTCTCTGTAACAGTCTTGTCATTTGTCAAAAAATTAAACTGTCATATTCCGTCATGAATTGGGGTTAGTGAACAAAAACAAATACAAATTTATCATACACTGTGATGCATAATTATCACTGAAATTCTTTAATCAACGAATTTTAAGTGGAGTAAGGCGACGGGATTTGCTGACCCCTTAATGAGTAACCTTTATGTGCTCAACCCAAATGTTTTGCTTTTGCATGTATGATTTAATGTTTTGTTGTCCACATCAAGTGCCAAATGATTGCAGAAGACGAAAATAACAAACAGATTCCTTCGTTCAAGAAGTTGGAAGCTCTAAAAAAAAATGTGTAATACTATGGCAACAAAGGAAAAAACGACGAAAAGACACACAACAGTACACATAATACAACATAATACAAAATAGAAAACTAAAGAATGAGCAACACGAACCCAATCCAAAACTGGGGATGATCCTAGGTTATCCGGAAAGGTTAGCAGATCCTGCTCCACATGTGGCACCCTCATGTTGCGCATATAAGTACAAACACGATTATACCATGTATAAGTTTAATATGGTAGGTCACATTGCAGGAAAATAGGACGGGTTTGTGGTTACAACAATTGGAACATATCAAACTATTCTAACTTATTTTTGCGGTTTGTCGTATGTTGTGCTGGTTCAAAAAGTTAGGTGTTGGAAGGAACTCACAAAGTTAACATGAAAACCCAGCCACAAACTCGTGCCTGTCTCGAGACAAAAACTTGTAATCTAGTTGTTATTGTTATATTTAATTTCTATCTGCCGTAGTACATAAGGCTAACTAAAGGGTATAGGATTTACTTACTGTTGAAGGTCGAAGGGTGAACCGTAATTGATCAGATCTTTGTTTATAAGTATATGGATTTTTGTCTTATTGGCAATCATATCACAAACACCTTTTTTGTCATTCGGTTTATAGTTTAGCGTGTCACAGAAGTGTTCTATTATTTATGAATATCCATTACTAGACCACACTAAGTATATATTTAAAATGCTAGAGCAACATATCTTGCCTCTTGAAGATACTTCCGTTGTTTCAGGAATTCCTGGAGAAGGCAGTATATCTGTGCTTATTAACGATGATTCTGCATGGATTCCCGAAGATACAATGTCTGTAGAATATAATTCTGTTTTGGGAGTTTGTGTTGATAAATGAAAATCAATAGAAGTTGAAGATAATTCTGTTGAGAGAAAAAAATCAACAGATTCCGAAGTTGAAGATAGATCTGACGTTTTTGAAATTTCCTGAGATGGACTCATCGTTGTTACATGTATGTTTGTTGTTGATTCCGAAGTTGAAGATAGATCTGACGTTTCTGAAATTTCCTGAGATGGACTCATCGTTGTTACATGTATGTTTGTTGTTGATTCTTCTGATGTTACCAATAAATCCGGAGTCGTGTTAGAAGTAGAATACCGACAAACTATTGGTTTAACACAACATGAAGAATAAATGAAAATTAACATACTGAATAACGGAAACAGAAACATGTTTTAACGTATGTTAACAGCCATCCGTGGATAATATACTATGCGGTTTGTGTATTTGCGATATTCCGCCTCTTGCTGTTGTTCTGGTTCAATTGTTTACACTTTTAAGTATATTTTAATCAACACTATTACACTTCCTGGTATTTGTTCGAATTGTGAAGTTATAAGATATAGCACAAATTTTGTAAACTATTTACTGATTTAAATTCTTTAATTTCGAATTGAGTATGAATGAGGGTCTTGATGGGGTTTACAGAATAGACATAAATGGACCAATACTACAGAATCATGAACAAAAACATAAAGAATAGAGAAAAATAGGCAAAAAAATAAAGAATAGAGAACAATGGGCAAAATAATAGGAATAGAAAATGGCTTAAAAAGTAAGAGAATACAGAATAGGGATCCAATCCAGACCCCCATGAATGAATGAAAGGGAGATCTTTAATATTCTATGCAATATTTTTAGAAGATGAGATTAAAGCTACTTTAAACTAGGAAAATAAAAGTAGTAAATATTTAAACAGACAATTGTTTTATGTCTATTGACATGGGCGGCACATTTCTATACAAAATCCGTTATTTTTGGCCTCAAGATTCCTTCTTACTTAGCAGGTTTTTTTTTAATTCACTCATACTATGTTCAATTTAAATCTGTATTTAGTGACAAGTTGTACAGAACATTTACATAAAGCGAATGTCATATTTCATATTTTGGTTATATTTTGTTTTTAATTCCAAAAGCACATAACAGACTTTGACAATAATGGGAAAAGGCAGACACGGGTTATGGACACGACACAAATAAAGCATAAAATCACACAATGCAACACATAAAACAGACATTAAGAGTTACCGCGTTATCTTCAATAATGTCGGGTAATCATTACCAAGCAGCGAGATCTGATCAGCTCTGACTAAAAAAAGAGATCAAATCCAATGCTGCAGCATAATATTGTAAAATAAAAATTCTTCCGAGAAAAGAATATACCATTAACCAACATATTCCGGGCTTGGAACCGTCGCATAACACATTCGGCGGGGGTTTTACTTATATAATTGGATCCAACAGCTCCCCCTATGTTTGGTCAGAGGTGAAATATAAAAGACAATTGGGAAGCATAGTGAAACTAGAAAAGAGTAGAAAACCAAAGCGTAGATCAACAAAAGGGAAAATCAAGAAACAAAAACAAATCCGGGGACAAGAGAAAAGGGCAATTTTCTCATAGAAAACCAAAGTTATATGAGTAAAAACTGACACCCTTAAACGCAAGTGCTACGACAGGCTATGCAGTATAGCTTCTGACAAGACACTAGACGTGTTTCTCGTAAATAGTATGCCCGGTAACGGAGAAAATGTATCAATAACAAAAGGACAACTTATAACAGTCAATTATATTCAATATTTACAGGAGTATAGTGAAGATATGTTGAGAAACGCAACCTCTACGATGTCCACAAGTGTGTTTTGGACGCGTAACGAACAGACAGAAAGTCCCGTTACAATGTCCTCTCCGTAAATTAATTACTATGGGGATGATAAAATGTAGAGTAAAAAAAAAACCATTCCAAAAACGAGTTAACGGCTATTGGCAAGCGGTGCGGTCTTCGATGGAAAACTCGTACAACTAAATATTAATTATGATATTACCGAAGAAGCAATGGATTCGGATGTGAATAGATTGCCGATTATTTTTTTTTTATTCGATTTATAGAATTGAAAGAGAAATGGTTTATAAATAAATGCTTACATATAATAAGTTTAATATGAAAGAAAGGGAAAACAACCAAAGAAAATCCACAATAGCTACATTTGCTTATTATCCGCCCTTTTTCCAAATAATACCGTTCAAATCGAATGTGTACGTATATGTTACATGCATGTTATACCTGAAGGATTTTTATCTTTGATACGACCCCTCTATTTCTCCTGTAAACTGTAGGTGTCAATAGTCGGTGTCGAGAGTTGTTGAAAAGGTCTACTATGCACATGAGTGAACAATTTCTTCTCACCTTGATTAGTGAAAATAATACCGTAAACTAACAATACGTCTATAAATAAACCTTTCAAACAATGTATATAAAATACTTGCACCCGGTAGTGTGTCCTTAAAAGAGAATAGAAACTTAAAACCTTATCTAGCAAGTATAGGCAAGGATCATAAAAGAGGTAAATAACACATCAATTATTATTGCTAAAGGTTTACAGACTGTGTTATTAAGAAATTCGGATTTTCCGAGGTAATATAGCCACTTATTTCCCCCCACATGTCGGTGTATTTTTTTGTTCTAGATACGCTTCTTTTTTATCTTTTCTGAGACACCAGGAAAAACTGACATTAATGTATTGTACATTAACTGCTATCATATGTCACGAGACAATGTACTAAATTTAATTTCACAGTTATAAAATGAAAGGAGAGAAAAACAACAAAAATTTCTGTCTTAAAACAAGAAACTTC